GCCACTGCTGGCTTTTTCTGCTTATGTACTGCTGAGGAATTGAACCCAGGGCTTCATGCATGCAAGGCAAGAACTCTACCACTGAGCCATCTTCCCAGTCCCTAACCTCACGTCTTGAACATGATATCCTTATATGACCTATTTTACCTATTTAAGTAAAACAAATATCTAACATCGACTGATAATACAGAGAATACACTCAAGTCAGACTGTAACTTTTTTTTTAAGTTCTCTTTTATTTATTTATTTTTTTGTCAGTTGTGGGGACTGAACTCTGGGCCTGGGTACTGTCCCTCAGCCTTTCAGCTACCACCCTACCACTTGAGCCACAGTATCACTTCCGGGTTTTTTCTGCTTATGTGGTGCTGAGGAACTGAACCCAGGGCCTCCTGCATGCGAGGCAAGCACTCTACCACCGAGCCAACTTCCCAACGCCCAGATTATTATTTAGAACATAGTAACCTCAGTTTGTGCCCAATAACCATTTCATACCAAAAAATAAAAGTCCATAACAAAAAATTATCCAGAAAATACTGCTAATTTAAGAGAGAAAATATAAACACAAATCAAAAGTAAATAAAGTGGGCTAGCACCCAATCATACCTAATTCTTTGTCTTTAAGCTACGTTGTAGTCTACTCCTGACCCTAAATAGAACTGAGTCGTGAAATAAACATTTTAAAGTGATAGTGTATGACCTTTGGGGCTAGATCATTAAATAAAGATGTATTCCCATCGAATTCTTCTTCTGGATCACTTGTTCTAGAAGAGCCATCTGCCATGTTATGAGGATACTAGCCTCCTGCTAATATCCACAGAACAGCTTAGCAAATGGCCTCTCAATGAACTAGCTTTGAAGTAAGTTATCGAATTTAAATACAACTTTCAGATGATTGTAGACACAGTTGATATGGAGTGACCCCAGGCCAGCACCACCCAATTTATCTGCTTTCAAACTCTTTACCTACACAATTCGAGATAATAAACATTTATTCCTTTAATCCATAAATTTCTTTTTTTTTCTTTTTCTTTTTTTTTTTTGTCAGTTGTGGGGCTTGAACACTGGGCTTGGGCACTGTCTCTCAGCTCTTCAGCTCAAGGCAAGCACTCTACCACTTGAGCCACAGATCCACTTCCTTTTTTTTTTCCTAGTGGTTTATTGGAGATAAGAGTCTCACGGAGTTTCCTGCTCGGGCTGGCTTTGAACCTCGGTCCTCAGATCTTAGCCTCCTGAGTAGCTAGGATTACAGGCATGAGGCACCGGCACCCGTCTAATCCATAAATTTCTAAGATACTTTGGCACATAGCAAGAGATAGGCTAGTATAATAAAGAAGAAATTTCAAGTGTCATCCAATCTGAAAGACAGTATACTTGAAAAGAGCTACTATATTAGCTGGCAGAAAACATCCCTGCAAAATAAAATGAAAATAGTACATGGACACAAGCAGTAAATGTAACTTCCTCAAGTCTCATTTGAACAAACAGTTGTAATTTCATATAACCCACTGTTCACCATTATTTGCAGTCAACCATGTAAAGTTGGATAACATTCTGATTATTACAAACTTGTTTTTCTGGTTTTTGTGGAACCAGTGACATAATACTAAAAAGATTGTACCTACATGTAAGGATTGAGCAATTAGTTGTGGTAAAGAAAAACCATGAAGATCAGGAATTATAAAATTTGGTTCACTTGTTTATGCCAGAAGGTACTAAATTGTCAATATTTCTAACCAGCTAACATTTCCATCAATCAAGCCTTAAGATAGTACTTGATTCATGATATTTCAGTTCACAGATTGTAACATTCTATGAATGGCTCACTTTAAGGCACCTTTAAATGTCCATTTAGTCTTGCTTAGATAATTAAAGGAAAATAAGATTAGTCTAATTTTCTCATCTAATAGCTGTAGCTTTGTGGAATATTTTTAAAGCCTTGCAACCAAAAATTTCTCTAAAGAAAGCAACAATATAGAATATAGAAGCAACAATCTAAGTGAATATGGAACTAGAACACGCCATCTGACAAAATCTGTCAATACTACAGGCTCAAGAGATTATCAAGTATTATTCCTATTTATTGTTTATTCCCTTTAAATTTCATATTTGCAAGAAAAATAACTAAGTCTTCTTTAGTTTATGTGTTTGTTGGCTTTGTTTCTTTTTTTTTCTAAGATAGAATCTTGTAAATCTCCTCCTCACTCTCTCAAGTGCTGGATTATAGAAATATACCACTAGACTAAGTTACTCAGGTTGCTTTTACCATAAAAAGACAAGACTCTGACTTGTGATTCATTATTAAGGGACATCAAAAATAGTCATATAATAGCATGATTTTGGACAAAAACTATTGAGGTCCATATAGAAGTATCTCCAGTCCCATGTATAAGGATTTAACACAGAAATATACAGCTAACAGGTTTTAATACTTTAATTAAAACTAAAAACA